AATCGGAGCGCGCGGGTGAGGAACTGGCGTTGTTTCAGTGGCCAAAATGCGTCGGGCAGTCCCAACTAGTCAGTCCTAAAGAGGGCCACAGCCTCAGCCTGAAGGGAGGCGGGCCCAGCCCCCAGGAGCCCCCTTCCAGGGCGGAGCCACAGCCGGCTTCAGGCAGCTGCAGCCTGAGGGTGGAAACCGATCAAGTTCCCAGGAGTCTCCTGCCTGTGCAGGGGAAGACACAACCCTAGCCTCAGGAGCCACATTCCTGCCCGCCAGGGGCCCAAAGCGGGTTTCTACAAACCAAGGTCCAAGCACTTCTTGGTAGGACGCTGCCAGCCCCGCAAAGGGAAGAGCTCACGCAGTCAAAGCCCAGTACTAACTCAGTGGAAACGGTTAGGCTTTTCGTTACAAGCCAAATGGGATCCCCTCGCCCCAGGGATGCAGGGGGCCGGTGCCATCGATGGCTCCGGGACATCGATTGCTGCCGGCCACCTCCTCCCCCTTCCCCGCGGGCTTTTGCACACGACGCGCGGCGGCCCGCTTCACACGGGGTGGCGAGGGCCAGATAAAGCGGGCGGGCGCGGAGCGCCGAGAGGCGGGGAGCGCTCCGCGCGCAAAGCTGGAACTGGAGCGGCGCTACAGCGGGACCGACCCACGGAGATCCCAGCACGGCCCGGGCAGGAGCAGGCGCGAGGCGGAGAGGGTGGGCTAGGGGCGCAAGTAGGACGACGGGAACGGCACGCGGGGCTCACCCCGCAGGTGACTCCGCGCCCTCGGGTGTCCCGCTCGCAACTTCCGGACTCACTTCGCTGGGTGTCCGCGCGCCGCTTCCCGACCCAGCGCGTGGCGCGCGGGGCCGCATGAAGGCCACGGATAAGCAGCATCTGTTGGACGCCAGGCGCGGAGCCCGGTAAGGCAAAAGCCTGGGGAAGAGCAGGAATTTGGGCGGCATCAGACGCACCTTCTCGTTTGCTATCGTGGGATGGTTTGGGGTGCGGCTTGAACTAGGACCACACAGGAGTAGGGGGTGGGGTGAGGTGAAGGAGGGGGAAATCCAGCTTGGCACCGGGATCATCACGCCCTCACGGCTGAGTACAGATCCTGCCTGACCCTTGCCAGCCTGTCTGGAGTGAGAAGCCTAGAGCCCCGCCTCTGGCCGGGCACTTTGCCCCTGGGGCAGCCCCGCCCTCGAAGGCCCTGTGTCCCCAGGTGCGCGAGATGGGGGTTTGCCTTTCTTCCCGAGCCTGAGCTCCGCTCCTTCTCCGCGCTCGGCTGCACCGCCCCCGCCCCTTGGCCAGTTCCCAAGGTCTTTGCCTCTTCCAGGCTCTGGGAGGAATGGGGAGGGGAGGAACACCCTGGGCCAGTGTCCCTAGACTCCTGGAGACTGGTCATTCCCCCAGCACCCACCAGCGAACACAGGCTTCTGGTCACTGCTCAGGGACTGTCGAGCAAGGAACGCCCTTATCTATTCTAATTGGACACATGGGAACTCCAAGGCCCCACAGAGAGCTGAGACTGGAGTCAACCCTCCTTGCCTCCATCTCAGAGCTGAGTCTCCTCTTTCTCTTCCTCTCTGGTCAGGTCTTACACGGGATCTCTGTGGCAGGATGGGACTGGCTGGATTTCTCTGCCTCCACCTGGCGCGGACTTGCCGGCCCTTGAGCTGGCTGTGGAGAGCAACCATTACTGTCACACCCAGAAGGGTCCTGGCAGTCACTGTGACCCCAAGAAGGAACGGGCCCGTCTTCAGCTTTATGTGGCCGCTGCCATCTGCCTGGTGTTCATGATTGGGGAAGTAATTGGTAAGGACTTTTGTGCTAATTAAATGAAATTGATGAAATTGGCCCCTCTGGATGATCTAAAAGGCTTTTCCTCTGGATGTTCCAGTGACATTAATGCAGTTGACACTTGAACAACGTGGGGGATTAGGGACACCCACCCACACAATGGAAAATCCACATGTAACTTTTGACTCCCCCAAAACTTAGCTACAGACCACCTTTTGCATTCACAGATTCAACCAAATGCAAATGTAAAACAGTATTTTCCATCCACGGTTGGGAATGCAAAATTACTGTTTCACATCCGAGGTTGGTTGAATCCATAAATTCCAAACCTGCGGATATGAAGAGCCCACTGTATTTACTGAAAAAAATCCTGGTATAAGTGGACCGGCGCAGTTCAAACTCATGTTGTTCAAGGATCAACCGTACTAATAGCCCCATTTATCGGACATTCACTATGCTGTGTTTTTAAAAACCTTTTTAATTTTAAAATTACAAAAATTAATTTTAATTGAAAATTATTTTTAATTTTTTCAATTACCATTGACATACAATAATATATTAGTTTTAGGTATACAACACAGTGATTAGATATTTATACCTTACGAGGTGATCACCCTGATAAGTCTAGTACCATCTGACACCATACATAGTTATTACAGTATTATTGACTATATTCCCTGTGCTAAGTCTTTTATATACACCTATCTCATGCAATCCTCACAATAACATTGTGCTGTCATATGGGTGCTGTCAGTCTCTCGATTTTACAGATGATTTAAGTAATTTGTAATTTGCCCAAGATCACACACAACTAGTAGGTAAGGGAAGTCCTGAATGCCTAGAAGCAAAGAGCATTTACTGAATGTCTATGCTTTCCAGGCCCTATTTGAACTTGATTTTCACATTCACCTTCTAAGTAGATGTTGTTCGTCCTATTTCACGGATAGCAGAAGTTGAGGTACAGAGGAAGCAAGTCACTTGTCTATGGTTACACAGCGAATGGGTGGAGAGGTCTCGGATCCAGTATCTTTTCTCCAGAGTCCATGGTTTCCCGACTACCCACATAAACTGGGAAGTTGGCTTCTTGGAGAGCTGATAAGGACCCTGCACCCTTCTGGCACTGCCCCTGCAGGTGGGTACCTAGCACATAGCTTGGCGATCATGACCGACGCAGCCCACCTGCTCACTGACTTTGCCAGCATGCTCATCAGCCTCTTCTCCCTCTGGATGTCCTCCCGGCCGGCCACCAAGACCATGAACTTCGGCTGGCAGCGAGCTGGTGAGAGCACTGGTCTGGATGGGGGTGAGGTTGGGAGAGGGGTGGGTTAAGACATGGGTTCTTAGGTGCCTGCAATGGGTGGATCCCTGAGCGAGGCCAGGAGGGTGGCTTGGGTGTGGGAAGAAAATGTCAACCTTGGCTTCTGTCCCCGGGGAACTCCTAGTCTGCAGGGAAGAAGAGTTCGGCTTCCTAAGAAATGAAGTGGCAAACTTCAGGAACAAATGACTATGGCATTAACTCTGCACATAACTCCATGGATCAGCTCTGGGGGGCAGGAAAGCTCAGCCAAGCCTTCTGGAAGAAATAGGATTTAAACCTTCTTTAGTTCATCTCTGGGCTGCATTCTCATTTTCCTCTTGGTGGGAGATGGCCCATTGTCTCCTCCTCAGAAGCCTCAGTTTGCCAGCTGAGCAATATATGTAATATATATATATATATATATATATATATATATATATATATATATATATATATATATATAAAATACATAGGAATTTTTTCCTGCTTTTGTTTTTTAAAGATTTTATTGGGGAAGGGGAAGAGTGTTGGGGAATTGGAAAAGGGGAACAGCGAAGTTGTCTTTCAATCTTAGTTGTGGAGGGCGCAGCTAGTGACTCTGTTGTTCGAACCAGTGACTCTGTTGTTCAGAGCTCATGCTCTTAACCAACTGAGCCACTTGGCCTGTCCCAATAAGTATATATTTTAATAAGTCAGTTTCTTTACATGTAAAACAAAAAGCTTTGGCCCAGATGACTTTTTCAGTACTTTCTAGCTCTGACATTGTCAGATGTGAGTGGTGCGGGGGGTACAACCATGCCAGCCTTACTGAAAGTAAGCCCAGTCAGACCCAGGCCCTGACTTTGAGGGGAGAGGGTGGGGGTAATGGAAGGAAGGGGAGATCTCCTCAGCCTTAGGGCCCCTGTTAAGATTGGTGTTGGGGTGGGTTCTTCCTCAGAGATCCTGGGAGCCCTGCTCTCCGTGCTGTCCATCTGGGTCGTGACTGGGGTACTGGTGTACCTGGCAGTGGAGCGGCTGATCTCTGGGGACTATGAGATCGAGGGGGACACCATGCTGATAACAGCGGGCTGTGCTGTGGCCATAAACGTGATGTGAGTGAGTCCTCCCTCCTCCCGCTTCTCACAGGCATACCTATGTGCTTGATCTTGGTGGATACAGGCCAGGCCGCACTCCAGTGCAGGCTAAAGAGACAGAATTCCCTTAAGGGTCTGAGTTCCGGTACCTGGAACACCTGGGTCCTACTTTAGGCCTAGGCCAAGGCCATTGGGAGCTGCAAATCTGGGGCAGCATCAACTCTATCCCCACCCCCCATACACATCCGTGAATAACCTGGGAGGCTTCATACCTGAAGCGGGGAGGGGTGAGTCCAGTTCTCACAGGAACAGATGCCCCAAGGGGCAGAACCCAAGTCCTTTTTCAAGCTGATGTGCCTGAAATTGGTCTCAGTGAGAGGCAGGGTGTATAGAGCATCTGTCTCATTTGGGTTTTCTCTCTCCCTTGTTTGGTGGCCTTGGGCAAACCACTTCCTTCTCTAGGCCTCAGCTTCCCAATCTGTGACACGGTGCGGGGAACTGATAACCTCCATGGTGCCCTCCTGCTCTGAGATTTGACACTGGGGCATCTTTGTACCCAGACTCAGCCTGGCACTGGAGCCGAGCCCTTTGTCCTGTGGCACTCTAAACCAATGCCATGTGGGTCGGGCTTCTCACGTGGCCAAAGGGATCATGCAGTCTGGGGAGTTGGGATTTTTGCCCGCAGGGCGGCCAGCCCTAATGGGTGGCCTCTACCTGCTACCTCAGTGAGCCCTTTAGCTTTGTCTCCACATCTGTAGAATGGGGTTGACTCTTCACCAGTCTGGCCATGGGCACAGCCACAGCTATGGAGACAGCCACAACACCAGCGAGCAGCAGGGGAACCCCAGTGTTCGAGCTGCCTTTATCCATGTGATTGGAGACTTGCTGCAGAGCTTGGGTGTCCTGGTGGCAGCCTATATTTTATACTTTAAGGTCAGAGCTGGGGACAGGGGGAGGTGGGCCAGACAACAGTGTAGATCATCTGAGGGCTTCTTCCTGCCCAGAACCCTTCCCAGATTCTAGCTCCCTCCCATCTCTGGGCAAAAGAAAGCATGGGGAGAGGGAAGGAACATTTATCCAATTTCTGATCCTCACAACAACCCTGTAATGGTGTTTATTGCAGTTCAGAAAGGCTCAGTGACTTTCACAGTGTCACACAGCTGGTAAGTTGTGGAGCCAGATTCAAACCCAGCCCTGTGTGCTGCCAAAGCCTGGGCATTGTACATCACATAGAGGTGGTGTGGTGTATTTGAAAGAGCTGGGTGTTGAGTGTGAAGCCTGGCTCCGCTCCTTGCTAGCTGGGTGATGTGGAGTGAGTCCCTTGCTCTAACTGAGGCTTAATTTCTATAAAATGGGGACATTGGACTAGATGGTGTATAAGATTCCACTTAACTCTGTCCGTGTCTTAGCCCTTTGGGCAAGGAGGGGTGGGAAGGAACTCTGCCTTATCCTGAACTGTGATCTGTCCTGCCTGGCCTTCTGGGCATGGAATAAACTTGGAGGCAGGGCTAGGGTAAGACTCCTGTCCACCCTGCCGAGATCCCCTCTCCCTGACACAGTGCTGGGTGGGTAGGGAGACAGAAGCTGAGGTATTAGGTGTTGAACCCCAGCTCTGCCTTGCCTTTTTCCTGTAGCCAGAGTACAAGTACGTAGACCCCATCTGCACCTTCCTCTTCTCCATCCTGGTCCTGGGGACAACCTTGACCATCCTGAGAGACGTGATCCTGGTGCTGATGGAAGGTAACTGGGCTTCGACTTCCTTTTTGCTCTTGGCTCTCCTGCTCTATTGAAGTTCCAGGGGTGGGGGTAGGGGTTGGATCCCAGCACACTGATGGGGAGCCAGGGCCTGGAGCCTGGCACAGGCTGGAGAAACTCCTGGGGCCCCAGGCAAATCTTGGCATGAAGCTGGGCCCTCAGGTGTGATCGTTCCTGGAAATGTCCCCTGGACCGTGCCTTCCCTTCCCCCTAGGCCCAAGGGTGCCGCCTCCCTGCTGAGATGTGTCCTCCTTGCCTTGTCAGTTGGCTCCTGGGTGGTGTCTGCAGCACCTGGCACTTCAGCCCTTCCCCATACACTTCCTCTGTCTCCATTTGCCTCCCCTCAGGCACAATGAGGGGTGAAGATTATGCTTCCTTTTGCGGAGGGGAGCGGGACAGACTGAAGCTCAGAAAAAGACAGTAGGTGTTGGACAAGGCTGCCGAATCCACTCCAGCTTGGGCCTTCTTTTCCAAGGCCCCGGTGGCTGGGCTTTGAGGGGTGCTAGGTAGTGGCGAATAGTCTGCCCTCAGTTACTACACTCATTTACCGGCTTTCCTGTGCTCCAGGGTCTTGGGTCATGGGTCTCTGTGTGGGCAGGGTCAGTCTGGATCCTGGTTTGGGGTCAGCAGGAGTGTCCAGCCGCAGGTCAGAGCTTTTTCCTCCAAGAATGTGACTGACTCAGATAAAAGTGATGATGATGATGCCCTACATCAGTGCAGGAATCTCCAGCTGCCCTTCTTTTCATTCCAAAAAAACCCCACAGAGCCTTTTTTTATTGAGCACCTATTATTGTCTAGGCGCTGAGGATGATAGGGTAGTAAACAACAGATTATCCTGCTCCCATGTGGGGTTTCTATTTTAGAAAGGGAGATAGACAAGAAACTAACAAGATAATTTCAGACAGTTAAGTGTGGAGAGGAAAAATAACAACAAAGCGATATGATGGAGATCATTTGGGAGATGGGGGCAACATTACATCTGCTGGCCAAGGAGGTCTTCTCCGAGATGACATTGGAGGAGCAGGAACCAGCGTGGGTGGAAGAGAGCAGTTTCCTTCAGCTTCATCCCTGCTGTCCCCAGGGACGCCCAAAGGCGTGGACTTCACAGCTGTGCGGGATTTGCTGCTGTCGGTGGAGGGGGTGGAAGCCTTGCACAGTCTGCATATCTGGGCGCTGACCGTGGCCCAGCCCATGCTGTCTGTCCACATAGCCATTGGTGAGTGGTGGGGACATTCGGGGTAGGGTGAGGGAGAGGCAGTCAGAGGCCTGGGACGTCCCTGATGGGTCTGGACAACCCCAGAAGCTTGCAGTGCTCATCCTTTGAACCTGGCCCCATGCTGAGTGCTTTGCACACGTTAATTTGATCATCACGATCCCATTTATAGATGGAGAAACTGAGGCTGGGGGTGGGGTGGGATAGTAAAGTCACTTGCCCCGGCTTTTACAGCTAATAAGTGGCAGAGGAAAGCCTTAAAGCTTGTGCTTTTCCTGCTCTTTTGGGATTGTGCCAGATATGGGAACCAAGTAGCCAGGTGCATGGGTGAAATCTGGGGTTTCTTAATGTTCGTGGTCCCCTCTCCTGTTCTGCTGGGGGTAGGGTATGAGAGTCAGTCTCCTGATTGTTCCTAAGGGCTCAAGAGTGAGTTAACAGTTCTCTGGTGCCTCCCCTGGTGCGTCCTCTTGGTCCCCAGCTCAGAACACAGACGCCCAGGCTGTGCTGAAGGCAGCCAGCACCCGCCTTCAGGGGAAGTTCCACTTCCACACCATGACCATCCAGATCGAGGACTATTCTGAGGACATGAAGGACTGTCAGGCGTGCCAGGGCCCCTCGGACTGACTGCCTGGCCAGGCACCAACTGGGGCATGGACAGGACTTGCAGATGGCAGGACCCAGTGTCCCCCAGGTCCAGCCAGGACTCTGTTTACCCCGGCTGTGTTGTAAACTAGATCCCTCTCCCGCCTCTGCTCCATGTTCAATGTGGAGGAGCCTTGCCCACTCCAGGAAGGGGCTCTTCCCCTGCCTCCCCCATCTGATTATGTCCAGCCCCTGGATGGGGACTCGGCAGGTGGAAAGTTAGTGTGACCCCAGTCTTCTGACTCCTCGGTCAGCTCCTGGTGGGCTGGCTTTGGGTCTAATCCTCAGCCAATGCTGTCCTACCACCAGCAAGGCAGTGAGGCACAGTGAGGGGTGCTGGAGCGGGGAATGGCCCTTGCCTACCCACCTCATTTCCTGGGAAAACGCTGCCTGGACTTTGTCTTATGGATCTGTAAAGAAGCCCAGGAGCAGAGCCCCCTCCCTCTGCCTCTAACAACCGTCTGATTCGAGGACACCATGGGGACTGGGGAGTTGTATCGTGCACTCTACTTGTCCCCCTGAAGTGGGAAGCCAGGGGGCACCCAAGGCCCATCTGTGTGTTAGTCACTTCAGCTGTGAGCCAAGCATTTCCCTTTCCTAGCGGGAGGAGGCTTCTGACTAGGTAAGGACCTGGCAGGTTTCCTCTTTCCTTACTCTCCCAGCCCAAGAAGTTGTGTCAACACGAAGATGCCCTAGCCACAGGTGAGGGGGTACAGAGATTTCAGCTGGGGTCCCGCCCTAATCACCTCACAGCTCCTGGGCCGCTTCTCAGCCTGATGCATGTCCCAGGGTACTCAGAGCCTGAAACCAGATTTGATCAGGCCAGCTCTGTTGCCTGTATGGCCTGATCTGCTCAGAACTTGGGGATAGAGGGCAAAGAGGGGCTGTACAAGCGGGACAAGAGACACTGTGTGAAAGTTCCTGAGTTTGGGGGGTGGCTTGTGTTTACAAGATTAAGGGGGGAGACCTGTTCCCAGTTTCACAGAGAAGGCAGCATGCCCAGTTACCAGATGTCCCTGGTCTAGTGGTCTGTCTGCCATAACAAGCAAGTGCCCTTAGGCAAGTCAGCCTGGCTGTACCTCAGACTCTCATCTGAAAATGTTAACACCTACCTCACAGGGTTGTTGTGAGGACCGAAGCCAAAGTCTGCGAAGCACCTGGTGAGTGAAGAGTAGTTACTTTTATTTTTATCTTGGAAAGATGCATCCTGAGGCTGCCTTGCTTTGGAGCCAGGTGGGTTTCCCAGCCTCCCCAGAGACAGCTCTGAGTTGGTCTTGATTCTGACCCTTGGCAGGAGGAGGAAGGGTTGGCCACTGGCCTCCCTCTCTGAGCCTCTGTCTTCCCATCTATGAAATGACCCCTCTGTGCCTTTCCAGCACTGTCATCCAGGGTAGCCTGTGATCTAGGTCAGCAGGTTCTTCAGCCCCTCAAAATCTGTGGGAAGTCATTTGGTTTGGCTTAGAAGTGTGTGTGTGTGTGGGATAGCTGAAGGTTGCCCTCTACTCCACCCCAATCTCAAGGGACTCAACTCCTCCCCCTTCCCCCTCAGCTATGGCAGGCCCCAGGAACCTGGATCCTGAGCTTTACTGTATGCCAGGTCCTTAGACCCCTCTCCAGACAGTCATTGCGTTGCTCCATGTTTACAGATGAGAAAATGGAGAAGGCTCAGAGAGGTTGAGTCATTTGCCTTAAGTCACACAGCCAGTGTGAGGAAGGTCTGGGGTTTCTGCCTCATTCCCTCAGGCCTGCCATACAGCAGGGCTGGGGACTTGCTCTGGGCTGCGTATTGTTACAGTGTGAGTCCTTGGGCCTGGCAGTGCCCTCCCCACAGGCAAGGCTATGCCAAGGCAGCTCCATGTTCTGGGTAGCATTCTGTGTGCCACAGCTGTGAATGGGGCTGGGAGGT